CGTTTTCGTCTATATGTAATAGACATCCTCAGGTATTGCTAGTAGAATAGACATCCTCAGGATTCTATTCTACTAGCAGTTAGTTCGATATCGTCAATACCTGAGGATGTCTATTACATATAGACGAAAACGTTCGTGGAAAGAATTTTTCTGTTTGGTTATGAACTGGTGTTGGCTTATTTGGTGAGTATTATATGATTAAGTACCCAGTTTTTTGAAATACAGTATACAGAATAGCTTTAGTTACCTGCTTTTGTATTTATCTATATTATAACAACTTTCAAAAAATTAAGAAAATAATTCTGATGGAAATTTTAGTGCTCAGAAAATTACATAATGTATAATAATCAAAACTTTAACAAAGTTTATCAAATTCATTTATTTTGTTGATTGCCAATCAACAAAATGCATATCATATTACTACTTTAATCAAAGTAGATAAAGTTGCATATATGGAGTTTATACTGATTTATTCTCTGTTCTTGATGTTATTGACTGTTATGTCTTGCAAAATAAATTAAGAACAATATCAAAATATTGATTATTGATAATTTCGTTTATATTTATTTGAATAATAGATATCACAGTAAAAATGATTGATCAACTTTCTGAACTCTTTAATTCAATGACAAATAATCTTTCCTGGATGAGGGCCAGAATGAATTGGTGGACTGCATGCATTTTTTCTTATGGAGTTTCAGGCTTTAAGCCTGCTGAGTACCAACATACTCAATAACTGCCAGTAGACTAGGTACTAAAATAATATATGCAAACTGTTAATATACAATATATATACATTGCAAAACCTGATGTATTAATACTAAACCAAACAATTAGTTATGGCAATCATTTGGTTTAATTACTAATATATATATATATATATATACATTCATCACAAATGTCAGCTTAATTAGGGTTGCAAATTAAAACCAAGAGTAAAAATTATGTTCTTTAATTTATCGATACGTTGTTTTATACTTCATTAAAGCAAATATTTTACTTTTAATTGAATGATATCTTTAAATAATAGTTCTGATACGCCAAATGAGTTCAAAATTTTACATAATTTGTATTGCCAAAGCTGCTTGTCATTTACGTTTACGTTTTTGCTCTGCTTGATTATTTCTTGATGTAGAAAAGTTATATTATTGTCAATTTTGAATTTGAATTTATAATGAAATTTAATTATACAGTACGTTTTAATAGCAGGGGTAATGAACAGATACGATTTGTTTCATGTCGGCGAGCATAACCGGGAATTGTTCTTTCTAGATGGAATAATTTACGTAGGAAATAGATATGAAAGGGCTCGAGTTTATATAAATAATCCAGACTCCAGATAGGGCTTGCATAGTAAATAATAGGGTTGATGATAGAATTGTATACTTTCATATGGATATTCAGATTAGAGGTTTTCATGGTTGAGCATAGAAATAGAAGGTTGCCGATAGCCTGCTTTACTTTGATGTTGATTCTTGGGATTTGCGCTTTGAAGGTCACGTTCCAATCAAAGACGACACCCAGATAGTTTACTTCATTAACTGTTTGTAGTAGAGTATTATCATGGTATATAGGCCTATTAGTTTCTTTTTCAGATATTTTGATATTATTGCGAAAAATAATAATGTTGGTTTTAGCCGAATTTATTACTAAGTGAATTGATTTAACATAAAGATTTAGCTGGTTAATTTTTCTTTGTAATGAGATTTGGTGGGAGCTAGTATATTACTAAATCATCTGCGAATAATATGTAGTGAAAAATTCTGTTGTTTATTTCAATGCCATCAGTTGAATTATGGAAAAGTTGATCAATGCCGAGCAGGTAAAAGTTAAATAAATATGGCGAAAGGAACCTTGAAGNTGTTCGGGATACAGTTAAGGTTTTAACAAAGTTCGAGCGAATACATAATTAGCAAAAAATAGTTGAAATAAAGTGATTAAACAAAAATTATTACAAATATCGTAAATAACAGTTCACAAATGCATATATAGAGATATTTTTGGAGGGGGGAAATGGTCTTCACAATTTGAAATCCATCGATCTCACGATGAAATGCTCGTATACACTCTATCGTAGGATCGCGCCATCTATCGTAGGATAAACGTACTATGCCAGAAACGGAATGTATTAAAAAACTTCCCAAAACTTCATGGCAACCGTACTATGCCAGAAACCTTCGCGGGAGTATATTAAACAACTTCCCAAAGTTTCACGGCAATCGGATAAACGGTGTGGTAATGCATGAAAGACACACACACATTCATTTTTATATATATAGATTAGTTCATATAGGTATAATTATTTGCAGTGGTGCACCCAGGGGATGGGTCAAGGAAGCTTGGCAACCTCAAAGTAAAGGGAAAAGAAACATAAGTAAATTTTATAAAAACATTTTCTTAATTAAAATTCATTTATTTAACTACAGGTGTATTGTTTGTTCCATTTCTACATTATTTATGAATTAGCAGTCACACAAGGTGGGAATTTTATTGAGTTTACATTAAAAAATTTTTTATCTCCTCCCTAGAATCTTTAGTGCTCCACTGATTATTTATATACTTGATCAACTTAGATCTTACTGTTATATTATATCACATAATTGTCTGTTTCTATATATTCATGGCTTTATCAAAGATACTTTTTGTAAAATTACTTAAACTAAAATCAATGAGTATTTTATTATTATTATTATTTAAAATAAAAGTAATCATTAATTTTTGGTATATTTAAGTATATTTAAAAAAAAATATTCCTGATAAATCTATGAATATAATTATAATACTGAAGTTTTCAGTGAGAAAAATGTTTTATTTATTTATAATAATATATATTTTT